AAAGGGCCCGAGTTTAAATCCCGGTACCAAAAAAAAAAAAAGGGTGGGCTAAGCCTGGTGTGGTGATGCACACCTGTAATCCTAGCACTCTAGGGGGCTGAGGCAGGAGGATCACAAGTTCCAGCTTAACCTGAGCAACTTAGTGAGATCCTATCTCAAAATAAAACAAAAATGGGCTGAGGTATAGCTCCATTGTTTGTGTTTTCTTGGGCAAGTATGGCCTACAACAGGAATCACTGATTTTAGGCCTTTGGGTACTTTTCAAATCAGTTTCTGGCAGGATCGATGGTGTGGTCATGGCAAAACGGTTCTGTCCAGTGTGCACAGCTTGTGTGGCTTTCAGGGTCCTCGCCCCTCTTCTCTTCACCAAGGAGGCTGGGGAAGACAGCCTCCCAGGAGCTCCCAGCCCTGTGCCCACAGTACAAACAGCTTTCTTGCCTGGCCTGGCCCTGCACCTATTTACAAGCTCACACACCAGGGACACACACGGTTGTGTCCCCGGTGCCTCAATGTGCCTCACTGCTTATTAAAAGTAAATAGGAGACCCTCAAATAGCCACTAAGTCGCCAAGGAAGACAGATGCTTATATAAGACAAGACAAAGCCCAGACCGGCTCTGGGGTATTGCGGCCAGCGACACCCAGCAGGGTGGGTCCCGAGGCTGTCGCCCCGGGGCCACATCCTTCCTGTGCCTCTTCCTAGCAATGCATCCCTGGAAAGCCCCTCCATTCTGAATTCTGCACCTGCATGTCCTGGCACCTATGCATCTCCGGGGATGCTGGGAGGAGACAGTGCCTTGAATGTGGTGTCCTGGGCAGGTGTCACTCTTCTAAGCAGCAGAGTCAGTTGGAGCCTTGGAGTACTAGGCATCAGTGCCATTCATGGACTGTGACAAAGTTATGTAAAGAAGCAAGTGCTGCCTGCCTTAGCTCACTGTGTGGGCTGCTTGCTGTCTCTGGACCTCAGCCTATGCCCGGTCCTTTAAGCTTGAGGGCATCTGGGTCGCTGGATGTACACCAGGCTGCTGTAGTGCCATCATGCATGGGGTGGAAGCCGGGTCACCCCCGGGCAGTGTGGACGCTCACCCAACAGAAGACTGCCTCTCCACCCGCGGGTCTCTAACTCCACAGCCCGCTGCCCCTCTCCGGGCAGGAGATCCCCTTCAAGTCTCTTTGGTCTAGGGCTGTGGCCCAAATTGCAGCTTGGACTAGGTGCTCGTGGCACCGCACCACACCGAGTTCTTGCGATGTCTGTCTGCTGTCCCACAGTACCCTGTGTGGCTAGGCTTACGAAGACAGGCTGACAGAGGACGAGGGATGCGGTCCAAAGTCCCTCCCTGCTAGAGAGGGGATATGAGCTGCCCCACTTCCTCCCTCGCCCTGGCCCTGTCGGCCCCTGCGGTTCCTTTCAGCACCAGTCACTTCTCTTTCCTTTCGCTGTCCTGCATCCTATTTCCACCCCCTCCACCCACCCCATCAGAATTCTCTGCTAGAATCCTCCCTTTGGACAACACCAGGGACCCATCTGCCCCATCCTCAAAGCCTGGTCAGTTCCCGTCCCTCAGGAAAAGCATGGGATGCTACCAATCACTGACCCTGATTCCCATTGGGCCTCTCCTTGTTGGGAGGGTCTCTCTCTCTCTCTCTCTCTCTCTCACACCCTCTTTCTTCCTCCCCCTCCCTGCTCCACCCTCTAGGGAACAGACCAGCCTCAGCCTTGACCCAGCCGCCCCCCAGATACCCGCTGTCTCGTGCCAAGCCCACTTTAGGGTCTCCCCCAGCCTCTGTTCTTCTTAGCTCACTGGTATTTCCTGTTCTCTCCTCTGCTCCCTCAGTGTTTGGTTAGTGTCTCTATCAGGCATGGGGGTAAGAAAGTTTCTTCTGGGTTTGCATCAGCCCAACACCGCTTGGTCATTATTTACTTGAACATTCTTTCCCACTGAACATTCTTTCCCACTTGAACATTCTTTCCTTAAGCCACATTTGACTTCTTTCTTTAACCCTTTTCCGGTGGAGTCACTTATCACATTCCGACGTGGGTGTTTTCTTTCCCCCTTTCCTTCCATCTCCCTGGCCAGCACCCTCTTTGCGCCTGGACCTGTTGTCAGCACCCTCACGATGCCCTCCTCCACGTCCTCCATCACGTTGGTGGCTGTGACACCATCATCGGGCTCTCGCCGTGAGGCTCTCTGGCTGCAGGACCAGGTGGCCTTCAGCTGTCCACTGAACATCCAGGCAGCAAGGTCAGCATCTTTTCCAAGGTCAGGAGGAGCAGAGTCAAGGGTGCTCCTGGGATGGCTCGGTCAGCACAGCGGGCAGCCAGGCCCGGCTCCCATCTCTGCCTCCCTTGTGTTTCTTTACCCACAGACCAGCCGTGCTCAGCTCCAAACAGAAGGAACAAACAAGGCGGCTTCTCCTCTGAGTGTTTCCTGCTGTGGAAAGCAGGCTCTGCTCTATGCTAACTTTCCTGAAACTTGCTGTTCTCCCCTTATAGGAAGTCATAGCCCTCTCCGAGGTCAATGCCTGTGGTCTGCGTGGCTGAGTAATATTCCTCAGCCTGCCGGGAATACACAGCACAGTTTATCAGCCACTCCCTCCATTCCTCTACGGATGGGCATTTAGGTCGTTGTATTTCATCGACTTTTTTTTTTTTTTTCACTGCAAAAAGTGGGCTGCAATAAGTATCTTACAAACTGGCACACATAGTTTCGTAAGAGTTTGGTAAAAAGGTATTATCAGTTTATCCTTAAAAATATAAAAATCTTCCAGGGGAAGTTGTGCATGCCTAGACATCAGCAATCCTAGCCATCGGAGGGGCTGAGGCCAGAGGACCCCAAGTTCAAGTCTAGTACCTGGGTGACTCAGGGAGACCCTGTCTCACAAGGTAAAAAGGATACGGTTCAGTGTGAAGGCCCTGGGTTCAATCCCCAGTACTACAAAGAGGAAAACTCCACAGGCTGTTTTATAATGCATGATTAGGGCTGTTTCTTAAAGTGATGCCCCTCTGTCCCTTGCCTGCTCCTTACAAGTATAAATTATTTTCCTATTGTTGAGAAAAACAGTTTTCTTATTTAAATTTGTCCTTCCCTGGCCACTAATGAGGTCAAGCATTGTTATAAACATTGGTCTTTGGATTTCCTCTCCTATGAAGTTTTCATCCACATCCTTTGCCGAGTTTTCTTTCTTTTAAAAGAAATCTCATGTTGGATTGGCGCATTTTCACATTCAGCTCTGCGATCACAAGCAGATGGCCCGTAAGACACACTGACACTGCAGCTGTCTGTCCTTGCCATGCATTTCCTACCTTTACGTCTCCCCAACTTAAGTCTGGGGGTAAACTGATAAACCAAATTCAAATTCAAATGCACTTGACGTGCAAAATTGTTCCCAGACCTCTCCATGTATAGAGGAACTGGAAATTATTCTTCTAGTAATTTTCTAGTTTATTATTGTGTTCAACAGAATTCTCTCTGCCAAACTGTTTTGTTTAGTTTTTAGGGTGGAAGAAAATGCTAAAGGAATAAAGAAGAAAAGAGCCAGAGCAGGTCGTGTGTACACATGGTGAAGGCTTTCGTCATCTGAGATCGTGTGTGTGTTCTGCCCCAGGGAAACTCACAGGAAAGAAGGGGCCTGAAGGTCACCGAGTGATCGGTGGGCACGAGTGGGCCCAAGAGGACACTAGGCTTGGGGATCACACAGTCATGAATTAGTGAGGCCCCGCCCCAGCTCTGTGCCTTCCCAGCCTTGGTATGCCCATGACACGAGCTACAGAATAAGTACACGCTTCCTGTGCTCTTGCTGTGAGGACCAGGTGGGTGCGAATGCTCAGGGTACATGTTGCATGTTGTAAAGAACCCATGGGTGCAGATGTGACCTGTGGTCCTTCACTGTCATGGCGGCCCCTGTCCTGTGTCAGGTCACCCTTTCCAGGGGTCACCTCCTCTGACTCGGGGCACCCACCCTGCATGGCAGAGCTGGTGAAAGGTGTCCCTAGAAAGGTTCCCTAAGCCACAGGGAGAGACCTACAGATGCCTGGTGGAGCAGAAAAAGGGGAGGATGTTCTGAAATGGTTCAGGGAAAGGACAGGGCACTGAGCTGGGAGGACTGGGTGGTGTATGTCAGCGGTGGGATCTCAATGCCCAAACCCCTCCCACCCGCAGCTGATGTGGTGTTCTGGAAGCTGGTGGTGGCTTCTGGGGAAGTTATAAGAGGAAGGCAGTGCCTTGACCTTGGAAGTCAAGGCTTGAGGGCTGCAGCCCTGGGGGACCAGGGACAGAGGCTTGGAAAGAGGAACACAGAAGTCTCTCTCTGTGCCTAAATCCCAGCATGGGTACGCTGCCCTCTGAGAGGAAGAGGAGACAGGCAGAGAAAGGGAGGATGGGGAGACAGAGGGCTCCGCAGAGGACAGCAGGGCTGCTGTGAGCAGAAGAAGGAGCACACAGAACTTGCTGGAGAGGGCCAGGTGCCCAGGTGTTGGCACAGGGAAGCTGCGCAGGGAAGGGCAGTCTGGACCAGCTCTGCTCGGTTCTCTGCACACACAGAGCGACTGTCCCTGAGCACGGTGCAGTGACTGCACCCTGGAGACCAGGTGGCCTTACCTTGCAAGGAGCCTTCTCTCCGGAGGACGGAGGCAGCGTGACTCTGTGGGCAGGACGCAGGCCCAGAGCCGGGCGCTCTCAGCTTCTATCTCTGGTCCTCCCCAGCTTGTGACTGTGGCAAAGTCACTTGATTTCTCTGTGCCTCGATTTCTCCATCTGTAAAACATGAAAGACGAGATAAAGCACTGTGACTTTAATCCTGACCTGTCAACTTCATGGGATTAGGGAACAGATGCCCTGGAGTTTGGTAAAGCACTCTTCTGGGTGAGTCTGGGTGGGTCATAGAGGATTTTATCTGGCCCCTGTCCCTTTCCTCTCTGGCTCTGTTCCCCTGTTCTGCTTCCCAGCCACAATGAACCAAGCAGCTTTGCTCTACCACACCTTTCTACTAAAATGCTCCTGCCTTAGATCTAGCCCACCATGGACTGAATCCCCTGAAACTGTGAGGCTCCCCATCGCAAAAAATCCTTTCCTCTTGTAAGATGTGAATCTCTGGTATTGTGTCCAGCAATTGAAAAACTGACCAATACAAGCATATATGTGTGTCATGGTTACAGTGGACAGTATGGTACTGTAACTGTCCACAAGATGCCGTGTTTCTTCCAGGAACCAGGCATCTCTCTGCTATCTGGACAGAGTGTTGATTCTTCCTGCACTCCAGGCCTGAACTTGGGCTCTGCGAAAGGTTCTTTCCTGGTTTATCCTGCCTAGCAAGTCTAATGTGCTGCTCCCTCAAGAAGGCTCACGTGGACTGAGGGTCTCCAAGCACCGCCATAGCTCCACCTTCCTCTGATCGAGGCAGATCAGCCCACACAAGGCATCCACACTGACTGTGAATGTCATCTAGCCCATGATTTTTTTCAGGGACTTCAGAGCTACAGCACTAGACTTCCCAAAGTGTATAGGACTAGAAGAGTCTTTGGAGCATTTTCTTGCCTATTGTGTCATGCAGCCAGCAGTCAAACTTCATCCTAGTTTTATGAACAGGAAACACTCAGAAAGGGTGTGTGAAGCGCTCCAGCCATTGACAGGAGAGCCAGGACTGGGACATAAACCTGCAGGGCAAGTCCTTCTCTCAAGGAGACAAGCCTGTTCACACTGCCCTGGAAGAGAGGAGAGGGCTGAGATTGGGGACAGGAATCTGAGCTCTTTGTGGTCCTTCCTAGATGCAGGCATTGAATGCTGGTCCTTGACAGTTCCCACAGATGTCCACTGTTCACTCATCCCAGGCAGTCCAAGCCTCCTACCCTGTGGTTTGCTGGCATTGGAAGTCTAGAGGTTGAGACAGAAAATCCCAGAGAAGATGCCTGGGGAGGCAGCACACTTCACATCTGCATTTCCACCACCCAGCTTAACACAGAAAAGAGCTGGGGTCCTTTCAGCTTCCTTGATGGTTGAGTTAAACAAGAAGGCCAGGGAGTGATTGCTGTCATTTCCTCCAAAACTAGCAGCCCTTTCTCTTGGCCTGGAAATGAATTTTCCTTGTCAACTTTTGTTGGTTGTTAGAAAATGAGCTATAAACCCTTCATATAAACTGGCTCTTCCTGGAGGGACGCTTTCATCCACAGACAGTAATCAAGTCTTTGCATGTGCATATTTTCTCAAGGACATAGTAACATGGAACACAGATCTGAAACCAGACATCTGGCAGAGGAACAGGTTAGGCCACAGATGATTTTTTTTTCCCAATTCGACTTGACTTTGGTGATCAAAACTGTCTTGCCTTTGGCTGGAATAATTTCTCTTTGTGGGTCCAAGGCACCATCCTCTGGACCCTGCAGGACCCCACAGCAGGGACAGTTTCCACTCGTCTTTGCATCTTACGTGTTGTGCCTGGTCCTTGGCTGGTGTGGGCTTGTGGGTTGGATGTCAAGGAAAGAAGGAAGTAGGGGGAAAAGGAGGATGTGAGGGAGGGACAGAAGGAAAAAGAAAGGAAGGAAGGAAATCAGGAAAGAAAAGAAAATATTCTCATTGACCTGGGAAAGAGGATTCCAGTTCCAATTGATGGGAATAATAAATGCTATCAAGGAGCCAACCCACCAGTAAAAGGTTTAGTGTTTAAATGATTTAAGAAAAACTGAACTATTATAGTAAGACCACATACTACCTCATGACTTCAACTTGTTGTTTTATAAGCATTACTTTTCTAGAATTTTCAATTTCTAAACTAGAAAATGCACAAGAAGTTTCTAGTTTATTGTTAAGTGCCCAAGAATTGAAGTAGGTAGTGATATTATTATCACCAATATATTAAAATAAAGAATGTCTCTGACTTTTGGGCTCTTATTTATAAATGTGATCATATAAATAAGCAGTAACCCTGGATACAAGAACACTGGCTGCCTAGCTATGAGTACTACTAATTAATTCAGCCAATATTTATTGATGACTCCCTTGTTTGCTCTTTGCGAGACTCTAGTAGCTCAATATGAAACAAGATAGATATGGCTAGACAATTTCAAATCAAGTTAAAAGAAAGAAGTTAGGATCAGCACAGTAGAACTCTTATACATGCAGAAAAATAATTTTGGATACAAAGAAAAATCAGAAATATGAAAGAACAGAAGAGAAAAAGGACATTAAGAAAGTATGCTTAAGTAAAATAGAAAAATTCACGCCTGTCATTAAATTTACCCCCAAATAATAAACACATGAAGAAAACATATTATCTTTTAAGACAAAAATTAAAACAAGTTTTTGCCTTAGTACATTCAGTTCTGATGCTATGATATGTACTTGTTTTGGTAAATTCCTTTGAAAATTATAGCTATAAAAAGTATTTTGCTACCAGAAAATATTCAACTGAGTGTTGATAATATGATTGAGAAATACATACAAATAAAATATTTAAAGTTAAACAATAAAATGATGCATTGATGACTGATAAACTATTAATTATGGTAGTGCTTACTCTTGGCATAAATTATTCTTATTTCTTTTTTTGAGACGGAATCTCACTGTGTAGCTCAGGCTGACCTTGAACTCACAATGTAGCCCAGGCTGGCCTCTAATTCATGATGATCCTCCTGCCTCAGCCTCCGGAGTCCACTCTTGGGATTATAAGCATGTACCACCATGCCTGGCTTTTTAGCATCTTAACATAAATCACACTTAAGTGAAATTAAGACACATGTGGAAATACCGAATAGCTTCTCTGGTGTGAAAAACTAAAAGCGTAAATAAGGATCAAAATGTATAATTGATATTGTATAATAGGAAGAAAAGGTCTAAAAGAGTAGAGGAAGTGGGAGGGGTAGGGGAAAGGGAAAAAGGGAAAAGAAAAAATATGTAAAAAGGAAAAACATGGAAACAATGTCTTTCTTTCTTTCTTTTTCTTTTGGTACCAGGGATCAAACTCAGGACCTTGCGCTTGTGAGGCAGGTGACAGAACAACTAAGCTAAATCCCTGGCCATGTGAAAACAATGTCTTTATAAACAGGGAAGGAAAGAGGGGGTGAAGGGAGGGCTGGGGTATGGGGAAAAATAAGACCAAGATAAGTCATGTAAGGGTACAAGATCTCAATGATGAAAGTAACTGTACTATATACGTAAAATATACCAAGAAACGTAAAAAAAAACCCCAAAACTTAACTTGATATTCCTATTGATTAAAATTGTCATCTAAAGCCTGCTCATTTACATTTTTAAATTCTATTAATAATAAACTATTGAGAAAAGACTTCTTAAGAACACAGAGACACAGAAGAACAGGAAAACCTAAGGAGATGGAGCAAATGCCCTGCCTGGAATCTGCCTGTTCACGGAATTAAATCTGAAGAGGGCACAGAAAGGAATGAGGCCAGGCCCAGTGGCCTGACCCCTGCTAGGCAAGAGAGGGACAGCCCAACACTGGGCCTCGGCAGCCAGCTTTCTTGGTCCACTTCTTTAAAAAGTTAAGTCAGTGGCAGGAATTCCTCTTAGGAAACTCATCTCAGGCCAGCAAGACCACAGATCTAATCCCTTTCTACGTATTTGCTTTTGGGAAAATGGACATTCTCACGTGTTCCTGGTGACCATGTGGGTGCACAAGTGGAGGGTGTCCAGAGTGACAGGGGTCCTCCCAGATGGCCACTGCCATGCCTGTCCTGATGATCCCTTCTTCTTGGATTCTGGACTTTGTGGGCTTTAGGTGTGTATGAGTGCTAGTCCTTTCTCTTCCTTCTCAGCCTCATTTCACCCAGGAGACCTGGCTGGGCCGTCCCTGGCTCTTGGCTCTGTCCCTGGTCATCTTCTGGGGTGGCATTGCCTATAAACACCTTCCTCTGTGCTCACCTGTCTCTTCTGCAGGGACCATGCCAGGCTGGTGACCCTGGGGTCCTCTTGCCTCGCACTTCTTGGTTTCTCTGGGCAGAAGTGGGGGAGGAGAGGAGCGCAGGCAGCTGGCTGTTCACAGCATCTCCCTCATGGCCACTTGGGCAGGGGCATTCAAAGAGCTGGATGCTCTGCTTAAGGTACCGGAAGCATCTCAGGCTAGGAGGGCTGAGCTGGCTGCAGGCTGCAGGCTCAGCCTGTCTATGCCAATGTGCTGTGTGTGGCTGCAGAGGAGGGTCCACTGCATATCACCACCACATGTCAGGACCAATGAGGAGGCCTCTCTGCTAGTGGCCAGCCTTGAACTCATGGGTCCACTGTGCTGGGTCAAGTTGTGGCATTCCTGGACATAGCCTCCTTTGTTGGGCCCTCGCAGCAATGGCTCAGTGACTCCTCCCAGGAATGTCCTGTCACAGAAGGAGCGAGGGAGGTCTAGCGCTGCTATGTGCTAACCCTGCAACCCCTCAGATTCTGAAGCCACGCCCACAACAAAAGTCATAAAAAGTAAAGTTGGGGGATTCACACTGCCTGGTTTAAGAGCTCACTCTAAAGCGACAGTGATTGAGGCAGAGTTGGCATCGTGCAAGGGCAGACATTCGCATCCACGGAAGAGGATCAATGGTCCAGAAATAAGCCTGCATGGCTGCTGTCTGCCAACTTCACCAGGGCTTCAGGGTGGCGGGGGAGGGGGAATGATCTTTTTGACAAGCATGGGACAAACGGGTAATCCCACGTCAGTGAATGAATTTGTACTCATATCTCACACCACGTGCAAAAGTAAATTCAGGTCAGATTGAAGGCCCAAGTGTAAAAGCTAAAACAAAATCTTAGAAGAAAACAGAGGA